GGGCGGCAGCGGGCCGAGATCTGGCTCAGCACGCAGTCACCCTCCAGTCCGGTTGGGTCCACGATTCTTCGAACCCTCTCGGCATTACAGACCTCGTAAAGAAACTCTCCAAACTCAGAATTGAAATAAACTCCAACCGTTTGTCACAAGTGCTACTTCATCTACGGTCCAAAAAAGTCCAGGTCAGCTTCACTTTCTCATTATTTGACTGAGTAATTATGAAACTAATTATGCAGTGTTCGCAAAATACTACGTATGAGCAAAGCATATATGAATCAAGTTCACAAATGAGAACCACTATGTCTTGTTGAAGAAATTCCACTTATGGTCATTCGAGTATTGAGACGAGAACCAATTCCACAATCAGTTCTCGTCTTTCACTTTATCTATTTTTGGTACCCGACTATTGTTTTCTTGACTGGTCCTTTTCCGATAGTAAAAATGCCCAGACATGGAACGAAAATGGTCAAAAAAAACAATAGTCAGGTACCAAAAATGGATAAAGTGAAAAACGAGGACTAAATATAGAAATGACACAAAACTCGGAGGACCTAAAGTGGAATTAATTCATATATTATTCTCATTTCTCAAATTGGTACTTGTTAGTTCAAACAAAACAAAAATTGCTGAGTTTGAGGAAATATGATAAAAAATCAAAATGAGTGAATGAATCTGATTTGGAGAATCAACAATGTTAGAACTAATTGAGTTGAGGAAATATGTTTCATTGTGTTACACTGTCTTTTTATTTATGTTAGAATCAAACAATGTTAGTACTCCCTAAACAATGTTAGAATCATCAATCAAACCATTTGTAGTAGTACTTAAAGAACATTAGTTGAACTTAACTAGATAACTGCTATATTCGGCATATTATATTGATCAATATAATGGAGCACTTTAATTGGTGATATATACCAAACTAAGTTGAGAATATGGTAATATGGATACAGATTTGTCAATATCTTCGGTGAAAATCCCTAAACAAATGAAAAAGCCTGTTCGTGAGAATATTAAAGTTGCAGCTTGGGGAGGCCCAGGAGGAAAGGCTTGTTTGACATTCAACGGATAGCGGGTTGAATTAGCGGGTTATCAATAGCGGTTTGACCTTTGACATTCAGCGGATAGCGGGCGTGTTTGACATTCAGCGGATAACAGGTTGAATTAGCGGGCTATCAATAGCGGATTCGGTCAGCGGGTTTGACTAGCGGAATAAATTGGCGGGTTGTCAAAAGATGTTTGGAATTTAGTTGTTTGGCATAGTGGTGGAGTCGGTTCGGGCCGACCGGTCTGTGACCCTGCCCGGCCCGCTACTGTGCGGGCCCGGGACTGGCCCGGTCTGTCGGTCCGGTACCGGGTGTTAACCCGAACCGGGGGGTTAAGCGGGGGCGGGCTCGGGTAGGCTAAAAGGTGACCCGGCCCGGCCGGGTCGGGCTCGTGTCTGGGTCCAACGGTCAAATTTTTTTATTTTTTTTTTAGTTCAGCCCAAACACAGCCCTAGCCGTTGGGCTGGGCTCCCAAACAGCTATATAGCCGTTGGGTGGGTGGCAAAGGGGAGTCTCGGGCTTTTGGGGGGAGGGGGGAGGGTGGGGTTAAATTATAAATCACACCACTTTTCTAAGTTAAAACAACTTTACTTAATTAATTAAATTAATTAATTCATTTTACAATATGTATTTTTTCTCAATTCTCAAATGTAGTTCCTATTTTCAAATAAATGCACTTCAAGTTTGTTTATAATATGCAACACTTGTATAAATAAGTAGCCAAAAAATTGGAAATTGACCCGGCCCGGCGGGTGGCCCGACCCGTGACCCGGGCGGGAGACCCGGCCCGAACCGGCACCGACAATAGCACGGGCCGGTCCCGGGCTCCCTTCAAATAAACCGAGGCCTGACCAGGCCTAGGCCTGGCCCGGGCCCGACCCGGCCCGGTTCCATGACTAGTTTGGCCATAGAATTAGTAGAAAACGCCATTTTTCAAAACGCCATTATTATTATTATTATTATTATTATTATTATTATTATTATTATTATTATTATTATTATTATTATTATTATTATTATTATTATTATTATTATTATTATTATTATTATTATTATTATTATTATTATTATTATTATTATTATTATTATTATTATTATTATTATTATTATTATTATTATTATTATTATTATTATTATTATTATTATTATTATTATTATTATTATTATTATTATTATTATTATTATTATTATTATTATTATTATTATTATTATTATTATTATTATTATTATTATTATTATTATTATTATTATTATTATTATTATTATTATTATTATTATTATTATTATTATTATTATTATTATTATTATTATTATTATTATTATTATTATTATTATTATTATTATTATTATTATTATTATTATTATTATTATTATTATTATTATTATTATTATTATTATTATTATTATTATTATTATTATTATTATTATTATTATTATTATTATTATTATTATTATTATTATTATTATTATTATTATTATTATTATTATTATTATTATTATTATTATTATTATTATTATTATTATTATTATTATTATTATTATTATTATTATTATTATTATTATTATTATTATTATTATTATTATTATTATTATTATTATTATTATTATTATTATTATTATTATTATTATTATTATTATTATTATTATTATTATTATTATTATTATTATTATTATTATTATTATTATTATTATTATTATTATTATTATTATTATTATTATTATTATTATTATTATTATTATTATTATTATTATTATTATTATTATTATTATTATTATTATTATTATTATTATTATTATTATTATTATTATTATTATTATTATTATTATTATTATTATTATTATTATTATTATTATTATTATTATTATTATTATTATTATTATTATTATTATTATTATTATTATTATTATTATTATTATTATTATTATTATTATTATTATTATTATTATTATTATTATTATTATTATTATTATTATTATTATTATTATTATTATTATTATTATTATTATTATTATTATTATTATTATTATTATTATTATTATTATTATTATTATTATTATTATTATTATTATTATTATTATTATTATTATTATTATTATTATTATTATTATTATTATTATTATTATTATTATTATTATTATTATTATTATTATTATTATTATTATTATTATTATTATTATTATTATTATTATTATTATTATTATTATTATTATTATTATTATTATTATTATTATTATTATTATTATTATTATTATTATTATTATTATTATTATTATTATTATTATTATTATTATTATTATTATTATTATTATTATTATTATTATTATTATTATTATTATTATTATTATTATTATTATTATTATTATTATTATTATTATTATTATTATTATTATTATTATTATTATTATTATTATTATTATTATTATTATTATTATTATTATTATTATTATTATTATTATTATTATTATTATTATTATTATTATTATTATTATTATTATTATTATTATTATTATTATTATTATTATTATTATTATTATTATTATTATTATTATTATTATTATTATTATTATTATTATTATTATTATTATTATTATTATTATTATTATTATTATTATTATTATTATTATTATTATTATTATTATTATTATTATTATTATTATTATTATTATTATTATTATTATTATTATTATTATTATTATTATTATTATTATTATTATTATTATTATTATTATTATTATTATTATTACTACTATTATTACTATTATTACTATTACTACTATTACTACTATTACTACTATTACTACTATTATTACTATTACTATTACTATTACTATTACTATTACTATTACTACTATTACTACTATTACTATTACTACTACTATTACTATTACTACTACTACTACTACTATTATTATTATTATTATTATTATTATTATTATTATTATTATTATTATTATTATTATTATTATTATTATTATTATTATTATTATTATTATTATTATTATTATTATTATTATTATTATTATTATTATTATTATTATTATTATTATTATTATTATTATTATTATTATTATTATTATTATTATTATTATTATTATTATTATTATTATTATTATTATTATTATTATTATTATTATTATTATTATTATTATTATTATTATTATTATTATTATTATTATTATTATTATTATTATTATTATTATTATTATTATTATTATTATTATTATTATTATTATTATTATTATTATTATTATTATTATTATTATTATTATTATTATTATTATTATTATTATTATTATTATTATTATTATTATTATTATTATTATTATTATTATTATTATTATTATTATTATTATTATTATTATTATTATTATTATTATTATTATTATTATTATTATTATTATTATTATTATTATTATTCTGTCATTTGGTTTCTTGTTACCGTCTATGTTGTTACGTTTGTCAGTTTGTTTGGGAATTCATCCCTTTTTATGTCATTGAGTATGTTTGGATTTATGGGAACATGGATGGCTGTGTCAAGCCCGATACATGGTTAGCGATTCACGTTGCTCTTTCAAGGGTGACCTTACCGTCTCTAAGTCTGATCATAGAATTTACAGTCGTAGTTGTTGGATTTAGTTGGTGTTAGTATTGTTTTTGGGAAAACTGTCAAATAAGTCCTCCTAAAATGTCAAAAAAGTCAATTAGGTCCTCCTACTCTACAATCAATCAATTGAATCCTCAAACTTACAAAAAAACACTCAATTAAGCCTATTAGCCCGTAACCAACAAGTCTTCCGGTTAACAGCTTACTGAGATGGTTTTTTAATATTTTTTAAATACGGTTCAAAAAAAAAAAAAAAAAATTTTAATATTTTTAGTTTATCCCTTCGAGATCTTTAATCTTTACCACTTACAAGTTCTTTTCTTTATTTCTTTTTCTTTCTTTCCTATATGCTTCGTGCCGCCTCCTTAGCAACTTCACCAACATTTCCGTACATGTCTAGGCCAGCTAGTTCACCGGCGGTCCGCTCTGTACGGCTGTACCCACCTTCCTCCCCTTCCTCTCCCGCCGTTCACTTCCTCCTTTCACTTTCTTCTTCACCGGCTGACTCTATCCCTCTTTCGCTCTCAGCTGCACTTCGTCGTCGTCGTTGTTCCAAGCCTACCCGCTGCTGCTCTTCTGCTTCACCGCTTCAACGCATGGATGTCGTCGCCAAGATGCTTCTCTGGTTCGTCCACTTGTTCAAATTCGAGCTTCTCCTTCCCCGGGGACTTATTTGACAGTTTTTCCATTGATTGATTTAATGATCTTGAAACTTATGATATGAAAGAAGACTAGTTGATGATCAAACATAAAAATTAAAATTATGGAAGTTAATTTCGACGGAGGATGTATTAGACTATACCCGGACCGGACAGGTCGACCCAAAAACCGGCGACCCGGTGATGAATCTGGTCCGATTGTTCATGAACAGATGATTTGGCTAAACTAGTAACTACTGGATTTACCCGGTAACTTGTCTTGGCTTGGGACGGACCCTGCCGGTAGGCCTGTCAATGGGTCGGGTCTAGACCCGGACCCGACCCGGACCCGGTTATTTTTAAAAGGTATGAGTCTATATTTTATTCCGTTTACCCGGACCCGAATCCGGACCCGTTAGTATATTTAATAAACGGGTCGAGTACGGTACATATGATTCCGACCCGTTAAGGACCCGGATCCGTTTAAAATTTCTTATTTGTATACAAACACTCTAATACATAAAGTAATTAATTATAACACTTCAAGTAAAAAATTAGAAACTAATATACACACACACATATACATAATGATAATACATAAAATTGTTAGTTGTAATTCTTCAATTGAAAATACACACACTAATACATACCGATTAGTGTGTGATTAAATTAATACCCATTTTGACCGTTTATTCATAGTGATAAATGTGTATTATTAATATTAGGGAAAACTATCAAATAAGCCCCCGTACTATGTCGAAAAAGTCGATTAGGCCCTCGTACTTTACAAACACTCAATTAAGTCCTCGAACTATTAAAAAACTTTCAATCAAGTCCTTTTGATCGGTAAGTAACCGGTTTTCCGGTTAAACGGCGACGACGGCGACAATGTGCTCGAACCCTAGCAACGGCGGCTGCCGGGAAACGGGTTACATTTAACCGGGAAACCGGTTACTTACCGACCGAAAGGGCTTCATTGAACGTTTTTTAATAGTTCGAGGACTTAATTGAGTGTTTGTAAAGTACGAGGGCCTAATCGACTTTTACGGTATAGTACAGGGGCTTATTTGATAGTTTTCCTTAAAAGTAATAACATGAGAAATCTTGATTTTTTTTAAAGTGTGGATATATTGTGCTTTTTAGTTTGCACGCTTTTCTTTACATTTCACATAGATATCTTTATTTTCACAAAATTTATAACGGTATCATACTTGGCGGGTCTACCCGACCCGATTCCGAGACCTGTTGGGTCCGGCTCTGGATCCAAATTTTCAGACCCGCCGGGTAAACGGGTCGGGTTTGGATCCATTATTAACTTAGCGGGCCCGGGTCTGGAACACTACGTTCCGGCCCGGACCCATTGACAGGCCTACCTGCCGGCCCAACCTGGGAAACCCCGTATGTTTAGGAAGAAGTTATCATCAAAATAAAACCAACCAGCCGCAGCTGGAAATCGACCGTATCTTTCTTGGGGAGTAAGTCTGTACAGAATTGAAGCAGACCCTTCTATATATTCCAGGAGTGAATACACCACCGATTATATTATTGGCAGCCATGGGAGCTGGAGAGAGCCGACCGGACATATACAGTGCCAATCGCGCCGTTGAAGAGGCGCTGAAGAGGGTAGATCTGAACTCTACAAAAGGGTATGGCCAAAGGAAAGATAAGAAGATGGAGCTCGCGATGGAGCTGACATGGATGAAAAGCTATCTAATCAACAGCAGAAGGACGGACCACGGCCGGAAGCTTGCCAACGTCTGGTGTCCGGCCATCGAACTCCTCGCCGGAAGCTGTGATGAAAGCCTTCTAGACAACACCCAACACTTAGATGCTGTAATAAAAAAATTTGCCAGTCTTAGACCTAAAATTCAACCTTTTATTGTTCCCACCTGTGAGTGTGATCATCCTCCCCCCTCAGAGCCTTTTAAAGTTTCCAACTGTCACTGTGACTGTGATCATCCTCCCTGCTCAAGGCGCCCCTGATTTTGATTGTACACAGGCGTTTAATTTGGGCAGAATCTCATCCCCTGTTTCTAGATTTTACATAGGTGTTTAATTAGGGCCGATTCTATATGTAAGTTCATTTAATTAGGCATTTAATTTTTGATTTTCTCTGATCTCTTTTTTTCCAACTATCTCTGGATCCATATTGTTAATTTAAATTCTTAGGAATTTGCTGCTCTTTTTTCTTTGACTGCCAAAATATGGCTACAGAAGCATTCTTTCACAACTTCAGAGGATTTAATGCCTAGAGTTTAATTTAATGGCATGTGATTTTGGGTTAACTAAGTACTCCATGTCTATCTTTTGTATGTAATGCCTAGAGTATCGCACTGATTTTGTTTTCAGTGAGTTTGCTTGTGTACCATCTTTTCTTCCAAGTTCAATCTCTCAAAACATACTTTTTTATTATTTACACAGTTCAATCTCTCAATGTCTATCTTTTGTATTCGAAGTCAATGTATCCAGATTTTCATTTTTATTTAAAAGTTTTACACTTTAAGCTGTTTAGATGGTGGTTTTGTTTACATTTGTTCAGAAAGTAAGATTGTGATCACTAAAGCTTACCATAGTTTCAGATTATATTCAATAAAGCATAGTTTCAGATTTTGTTCTATGCAACATAGATTCAGATTATGCTCACAGTTCACCAATTTTGTTTTGAAATCCATTCCCGGTTTAAAATTATTCACTTTAACCTATACATTCCTTCTTGAGCATGGTCCATTAGAAACTAAAAAGTGGTTTTTAAATTATGTATCTATCTCTCAGTATGTATCTATACCTGTATTGATATGTATGGTTCACTTTGTTTTTAAATATTATAGTTTGCCAGATTTTTATATAATTTAATGGTATTGAATTTATACGATTTGTATATTGTTCAGTTTGACAAACTGGTTGGCAAACTGGTTTGACTTCATTCCTTGCATTGTTCAGTTTGACAAACTGGTTTGCAAGGTTTTGTGTAAGGTTGCATTTTTTCGGTGACATATCAAGGGAAGATGCTAGTCACATGCTTTTACTTCAGTCTTCATTCATTACAGGATCACAATTCACCAAACGGATTAGTACATTTACCTTCACATTGTGCTCTAATCTTTCTGCGAAACAGCTTTTCAAATGTTGTTAGGCTTTGTTTAGAAGTGCTTGTGTTTAAAGGAACCCCCGTAGTTTAGTCAGCCATTACTAAGCAAACTGGCCGAACCAGAAATCTCTCTTCATGCCATCACAAGAGTTAACCATGCCCAATCCATGCATGTTGTGGTCATAAACAAATGTTCCATAAAGGCCCTCATTGATACAGGGTAGTACACACAATTTCATTGACGTGAATACAGCAAACCGCTTGGGCTTAGGCATTCAATATTGCGGTTGTGGCTAATGGTGAAAAAGTGGAAGGAATAGGGGGTGTGTAAAGATGTGCTGGTTTGCAAAGAGGGACAACAAACACTTGGGGTGCTTGGAATTCAAGTGGCTACAAATTGGTACTTGGAATAAAGTGGCTACAAACACTTGGGGTTGTGTTATGGGATTTCTCTTCCCTCACAATGAGCTTCACTTTAAATGGGAATTCAGTAACATGGACAGGGGAGAATGTTCAAAAACATTATTCTAATCATGGTGCCCAAATGAAGAAAAATTTCTCCATTGACAGGATCCCAACTCCTGTGTGCGCGCCAACTTCACCTGTTCAGGCAGTAGGCCTTTGACAAAGACTCACTTCCCTTGCACAACTATGGTTTGCTAAACTACAAAGCTGTGCACCCCAGGTGATGTGTTCATATCCTGTCGTCAAGCTTTAGGGCAAGCTTGACTTTCTGGGAGGAGTGTATTGATACATTCCAGTTGGTAAAAGGCTGAAAGTCCATACACGGAGCAGACTCGAGGCACACTTTTACTATTACTATTATTATTATTATAATTATTACTATTATTATTATTATTATTATTTATGTCTGCAGTAATTAGTGTTGGTTAATATGGTAGTGGGTAGTTACTCCTCAGGTAACTAGCAGGGCACTAGGCATTTAGTTGGCAGTTATTGTTTATCGGAAGTTATAATCTGTAACCAACCTTCCTCTATTCAAGAGAAGGTTTATTTTCTAACAGAAAAAGTTTGTCAATAGTTAGAATCAGGGAGTTGGAGAATTCTCAACAAAAATTCTCATCTTCTTCTTCCACTCCTCCACATGATATTCACACTACACGACTGCAGGCTGCACACACACACACACACACATACATACACACACATATACATATATGGAAGGAAATCTTTGCGGTAAGGTATACCTTACCGGAGCCGCCGTGCGGCCTCCACGTTTTGAGGGCCTTCCCGGTGGAATTTTTCGATGAATTTTTTTGAGCATGTTCGTCATCAAGTCTAGTACATTCATACTAAATTTCAGAAAACAATTCAATCGGGAAGGCAGCCAAACGATTTTTGGAAGATAACTGCGTTTTATATGTATATAAAGGGTGCAGTTATCTTCCAAAAATCATTTGACTGCCTTTCCGATTGATTTTTTTGTTGAAATTTGGTATGGATGTACTAGACTTGATGAAGAATATGCTCAAAAAATTTCATCAAAAAATTCCACCGACAAAGCCCTCAGAATGTGGAGGACGCACGGAGGCTTAGGTAAGCGAATTAATGCCACGGTTAGTATAGTAAAATACTTAATCTTGCAAATGAACCGTACCTCCTAAAAACTTATCTTTAATAATCTTGCAAATGAACCGTAGCTCCTAAAAACTTATCTTTAATGCTTTTATTTAATTCATCACATGCACGGTCCATATTGTTTCCATAAAAATTGGAACAATATCCTCTAAAATAGGAATTATTAACTTACTTTCCATGAAAAGTGATTCTTAATATCAGATTTACATAGTGCTACGATTTATTTATCATTTTTATCATACCCATTTTTTAACTGATCATTTCCTAAAAAATAGTTTAAAATGAGATTTTTGAGATGCACTTTAGTTATTTAATTGATGCAAAATCTTTTAAATAGTTATGCACTTTATTTATAATAATATACCGGTTATACCCCAAACCAGATCAGACCAGCAAATTTCAGATGCAAAGTCTTAGTTTGTACTTTTTATAACACTGACCTACACTCTACCCATGTAGTTATGCACACCTATTAATGTTTTTAAGTGCAATTATGTGCACTTTTAATGCAATATGGTTACGTACAAATGAACTCTAGATGAACATGTAATTATTTATTAAGTAGTTGCACTTTTGGTTAATTTGTTATGCACTTACTAGTGAAGTAATTAAAAATGAATTATATAGTCAATATAATATTTTATTTATTAAGTGGACAGACTTTTATTTAAATCATATGCAATTTATTTTGAATCCTACGTTTTTGAACTTTTAAGTAGCATAATTAAGCTTTATACACAATTTAATAAAAACAATACTCTATACACATTGTACACTTTAAAGGTGCATCATAAAAAAATCTCGATACCATGCACTTTGAATGCTTAGTTCAGTGCACTTATATATATATATATATATATATATATATATATATATATATATATATATATATATATATATATATATATATATTTACTATAATTAAAGAGTTGAAGAAAATAAATATTTTAAAAAATATATTGTGACAAAGTAAAACAATATATTTATTAAAAATTACTACACATACTTACTAAAGAGCATACCGATAGGCAAAATTGCAAAAAGAGAGTAATGTAATTTTATAGCATTTAAGAAAAATAAAAATAATATAATATAATACGGAGTAGTAATATCATACTACGTAGCATTTAAGAGATTAAAGGACATGGAACACAAATAAGAGAAAGAAATGATTTATAAAATCAAATAAAACAATTGAAAAGGTAGTAGTTAATGACTTAATGTACTCCTGTAATACCAAATGGTCAAACTAATGCCACCAATTCCGGAGCTAAGTTTTAAGCTAATTAATGCATAGATAAAATGACAAAAAGGCCATTTACATAGGTATACAGCAGTTTGAAAAAAATTGTTAATCTAATGGTTGCGATTTGTTCTTTTTTACTCTCCTAAGATCATTTCCTCACCTGAACCTAAATCTACATACACATATATATGTGTGTGTGTGTGTGCGTGTATGTGTGTGTGTATGTGTGTGTGTGTGTATAGAGTAGTGTTCCTGTCAGGACCTCCAAAAATGGACCTTCGTACGGACCTCGGCGTTTGGGCCCTTCCCGGTGGAATTTTTTGATGAAATTTTTTGAGCATGTTATTCATCAAGTCTAGTTTATCTATACCAAATTTCAGCTAAAACTTCAAGATAACTGCGCTTCTAACTGCGCAATTATTTTCAAGAATTCTTTTGAATGCCTTCCCGATTGAGTTTTAGCTGAAATTTGGTATGAGTAAACGAGACTTGATGAATAAGATGCTCAAAAAATTTCATCAAAAAATTCCACCGGGAACCACCCCAAATGGTGACGGCCGGACAGAGCTTTCTAAATAAGGGCTTATTTGACCTTTTTTGGTTAGTACATGGGCCAATTTGCACCTTCTCCCCTAAAATGAGGCTGATGGCCTAACTTAGAAAACTTGTAAGGATTAGGTTTATTAGGTATGCAAATAATCGGAGTGTGACCTATGGATTTAGGAATAGCCACCCCACACATAAACTCCCTAACAGCATTATACAAATCATCTTTAATGATGTCATAGCAATGTTGATAAAAAGTACCTTCAAAACCATCTCTTCCTGAATCCTGAGGCAGTCTTTACTGAGGCTAAAGACAACCTCTATGACCTCCTGTTCGGTGACAAAATTCAGCAAAGCTCTGTTGTCATCCTCGGTGATCACTAGACTCAGAAAGGAAAGGTAAGCAGTGGCTTCTAAAGCACTAGTGTTTCCATCATCATTGAAAAGATAGAGAAGTAATCTACAGCAGCATCGCTAATATCAGTAAAGTTCTCAAGCCAATCATTATCGTCAAGTTGGATCCTATCAATTTGGAGCTTACGGTGTTTGGCTTTAAGAGTGAGATGGAAAAACCATATGTATACACAAACACACACACATATACAAGCAAAAAATGCAATCAAACAAAAATGAAGCACCTTTATAATAATGTATTCTCTCTGGACTTGTGTGTAATTTCCCTAATTACGTTTATTATAAATATATGGTCAAGGCACCCAATAGGGCAAGCCATTACTCTCCAAAATTAGTATTTTGT